AGAATTATTTGAGTTTAATTCTCAAGTAAAAGGACTAAGATGGTTTTAGGCTTCCGTGTGATGAAAAGTAATTGGACTAGTATTTCAATACCTAAATCAAATGATACCTATTTCTTAACCACTCCAAATGAAAATTCATCCAGAATCAATTACAACCAAATGCAAACCAATAGCCAAATAAAGTTAAATCCTGAATGTAACCCTAAACCTACAAAATAACAAAACTACGACGAGAACCAGATAAAAAATTACAAGCTCCGAATGAATTACAAGCAAATTCAACTTTCATTTATCACCATGAAATAAAATTAACTCCAAAAGCAACAACAAGTATCAATATAAAAAAGACAGAAACGGCAACATTCGAATCGCGTCTATATAACAACTTGACTTAAAAGAATCACAAGAAGCAAACGGCGCAAAATTAGCCATGAAAATCGATTAGTTTATTAAAGTGGGAACTGTAAAATCTCAAAGAGAGAAAACCTGGCGGTAGTGGCGGTAGTGGCGGTAGTGGCGGTAGTGGCGGTAGTGGCGGTTCTTTTTTTTAAGCTTCGCGCTCTCTCTGAACAGGGAAAAGTGAGCGCTGAATTGAAGGTTAGATTATTGTGCTCAGTTCTCTTTGATAATTGATGGTGGGTGGACACACCCTAGTATTGCTTTCTCTTTTGGTTCTTCCTAGCTGTTTGATTTATTGTGGTTATTAAAATACACGTACCAGTCTCGCCCCTGATTGATTCTCTTCCTTGCATATTTCTCTATCTTTTTTCTCTATTATTCAGGATATTAGATACTATGTTAACAACTTTTTCCTAAAATCTTTTTAATAATTTTTTCTCAAATCTTTCTCTTAATAGTCAAAAACTAATTTAATAAGATAACATCAAATAATTCCTTTCAAATTTTCAACGACTTTTTTAGTGTTTTTTTTTATTTTAATTTTATGAACTTAATTAGTAAAGACCTAAGTTGAGATTTTGGGTTTGGTTTTTTAGTTGACTTTTTCCTAGTCTGTTTAAGTATTAGATTATTAATTATAAACGGGTTTAATTTTGACTTCACTTCTTTCTTATTAAATTATTAATTATAAGCTTGATTTTGTAAAAGGGTAACATTTTTTTATAACAATTTTTTAACAGTAACATGTCATTATTTTATTAGTTTATTTAAATTTAGTTTTTAAAAATATTTAAAATAAATCAATCACTATATGTTGTTAAAATATATTTAAAAGAATTGTTAAAAATACATTTTTCTTGGTAAAATTTCAAATCTTTATTACTTTTTATTTTCTATCTTTCTCTAGTTCTCGTTCTCTCTTTTTCACTTACCTTTAAATTTTTTTTATTTTTTTTTTTCAAAATATGATTATAGTACACAATAGATGTTGAACATTTTTACTTAACGATACTTTTAAAAGATACAAGTTGTTATTTATTTTGTGAATCTTTTCTTCTTGTAAGGGTCTAAAAAGTATAAGGCTATTGGATCTTCTGTTAAGGCAGTCAGACCCATAAACTAAGGATACCTTAGTCTTAGAGGAGACTTTTCAGAAATCCAAGTTCATTTTACAGCTTTCCTTTCTCTCTCTAAAAACTCTTTCTCCCTAAAAGTTCTCTGACTTCTCTCTAAAATATCCCTTTGTTGAACCGTTAGACTTTTGTTTAGGGGCCGCTTAAGCAACCACAACGTCAAGGGCTTCCTTTTGATCTGATCATATTTTCGTTTGGACCGGTAAGTGATTTTTCCCCTTTCCTTCGTTGTTTCTAGAGCCTAGGGCATGCAACGTTACTGGTTTCATGTTACTAGTGAGGTTTCATCTTCATATTTTATGCCCAAACAAGCTCTAAGAGTTGTGCTCTACACCAATTTGGTGGTTTATAGGTACTGTTGAACCTGCCTTTGTGCGGAGTTACTGTTAGGACTTCTTAAATTAGTTGTGCTTTGGAATCCAGGTAAAGGGAGCTGGGTTTTTCTCTTAATTTCGATTTAGTGAACTAGGGCATGTATGACTTAGATTTCTGTTTGAAGCTGTAAATTTATGTTATATGAAACTGCCCTGTATGTGAATGCTGTTTGAACTGTGAATTGATGTTGTGATTGATCTGGGAATAACTATGTTGTTGTGATTAAATATGGTGGAGAGTGTTAATACTGTTATGATGGTCATTTTGGAAGGGATTAAGTAAACTGAGATTGTGAGTTACTATGATTGGGGGTGTGATTGAAGTACTGAGACAGTGTAGAGAGGTAATTTAGGACTGGTTGAGAGCACGTTGTTGGTAGGATAGAGGAATCTTAAAAACCGGAGTTGGTACATCCCTGATCATAGAGCAGCCCTAGCATGGCCCAACAAGTTGTGACTAGTCATATGTACCGGCGCTTATGGTGAGTCTGATGTGTTCAGACATTTGATTCTTCTCCGATGACCAATTGGGTTAATAAGGAGTGTTTGAGGGTGGAAATCATGTGTTAGCTATGTTAGATGAGTAAACAGTTACTGGGCTACTGTTTTAGGTCTTTTGAGAGGAACTGAGGTAGTAAATTTGAGCTTAGGTGGTCTTGAGTCCAATTAGGCAGTTTGGCTAGCTTGGATGAGTCAATTAGAACTGATTAGGGTCATAAAACTGAGTAAATTCATGTTCAAAATGGTAGAATTGAAATTGGGTTCTTGGGTTAATGAAATCGGAGTTTTAAGTTAAAAGTTGGGTATTGATCACTTTAAAATCATGCTAATAATGTTTATAATCAAATAGACAGGTTTAATTAGGCTTATACTACGATCTAGGATCATTAGAAGTTAAGGAAGAGGTCTAGAACGAGTTCTGGGGTGTTGAGTGCCTGAAATTTGCAGAATTTCATTCTGCAGATTATGCAGAATTTCATTCTGCAGATTATGCAGAGTCACATAGTGCACCCTATGTGCTATGCGAATTTTAGCTGAAAGGCTCACCGTCAGGAAAATTCGCTCAGTGCACCAAGGGTCGTGCGCTGTCCGAATTTTTGCTGTCAAGCCTTGCCTTCCCCATCAGGAAAATTCGCTTAGTGCGCTGTGCGAATTTTTGTTGTCTTGCCTTGCACCCTAGTGCGCTGTGCGACCAGGTTGAGTGAGTTTCACACTTTTCCTCATATGTTTGAGCTGTTTGATGTTGTTTGACTGTCAGGGTGTATGTATGTCTATATAACTGATTTAGGTGACTTGATCTGTGTAACATGATTAAGAGTATGTTATATTATGTTGCGGAATACAGTTTGAAGGTATGTATATGTACAAAGTTTGTGATTCAAGTAAGTGCATCAGGTGTGATTATTGGACGTAATTCCATGATCCTCAAGGGAGGTTACATGGTGATGCCCTATGGTTTGTTGTGATTGATCGTATGAATGGCCGAAGTGACCTTATGGGGTTTATCCTGACATTTTAATGATCATCCATGCTCAAGTAGAGAGTGATGAGTCATGTGGTGAGAATAGTAGGAGGTCCTAGCCCATAGGTTCTTGGGTGAGTTATAACGGACTAACCTCGGGTTGCAGCTGATGGTTTTCCAGTTACTACACCACCCGGGTGCACAAACCCCTGGAACTTGACATTTCATGCTAGTCCCGATGGTCAAATCACGTGGTCGATCATTGGTATCAGAATAATGCGTTCGGTCTTAGTCTGTATTGTGTTATGGTCTTTGCATGATGTGTGTGATTGTATAACATGATTTTTATATCTAGCTCACTCTTGCTTGTTTGTGTTGCCTGTGTATGTTTCCTTTTGTAATGATCATCCACTTGGATGAGAGTAGATGTTGAGGAGGTTCCCCTGGAACAAGAGCTTGAGGATGCTGATGATGCAACCTAGTCTTCCTAGGAGTTCCTTAGTCATTTTATGTTCTTTTGAAATACTCTTTATGATTAAGTTCAAGTTTAGTACGCTATTGCACTTAAAGTTTTAAATTCTTAGACCATTCCGGATGACTGTAATCATAAACACCTTAAACTACTGTCTTAACTGTTTTCTATTATTATGATTGATGATACCTTTATATATATACTGCTATATATTTGAGATGTCACAATTCTAATAATATTTTTTTCGTCAATAAGTTGAGATGTATCTCCACTTGTTTGATCATAATACTTTGATTTAGGTTTCTAAATTTTGAGTAATTTTTTTGTCTGGATTTTTAGAATTTGTTTTAAAGATAAACATTGTATATAAGAGAAGTTATTTATATATTTTTTTATAGAAATAATATGAATGTGAAAGTATCTTAAATTTTATGTAGAGACTGTGGTTGGTTAAGAATTTTTTTTGAATTGTTGAATTTGAATGTAACTAAGTTTTGCTTGATGAATTGGATACTTGATAAGTTGATATAGTAACTAAATTATATGTGTGAAGTATAAATTTTTTTTGAATTAAGTTTTAAATACGATTAGATAAATAGAGTAAATTTTTATATTTTTCTTTATTATAATTTAGGAATTTGATGTGATTAGAAAACTTTTCATTCAAGCAAATACAACATTGAAACTCAATCATATTCTCTGTCTAAAATATTTTATTAATTTGTGATTTTAATTAAATGAGTTATATCATATAATTATGTTTATTAAACATTTATGAAATTGCATGTTGTATGAAAATGATCTTAAAAATTATTAAGAATGGTAAAAAATTATGATTACATACATGGAATTTTATGTATTAAGTGTTTGTATTTGTTATAACAAACATATCTCTTTGTTTCATTGATAATCTAAGTTATAGACTAAGATATTGGATGTCGAGAAACTAATAAGAAATTTTTGCATATTGTGACATAGATAGATGTCCAATTTAGACTGTAATAAACTTGTCGTAACTTATTATTTTATATTTGTTTGTAAATCTAAGTATTTAATCATATGCTAATATCTATTAAGGCATGTTTAATACAAATCTTATACATGTAATTTTGATGTATTGATTCATAAGTGGTTTATATGATAAAAATATTTTTAAAAAAATCCTTTTTTCTCAAAACAGCTAATTCAAACAACACAATTTTCCATATAGAACAAATATAATCAAAATATAAATTACTCCCAAAATTTCTCATCTAAATACACCAATGCTGTAAAGGTTTTGTTACTAAGTTGCATGTACACTTAACCAATGGCACCCAAAACTGAGAACATAATCTTCTCAAATCGTAATCATTTGTCACACATATCCTTCGAAGTAAGGGAAATCAAACACATTTTGTATTCTTTGAAGGAACTGTAACATGGGCTCTGGGCACGTAGCAGAAGAAAGAGAATCCAAAAGTGCAGTACATATATCTCTCAGTATCAAAGGTGATTTTTCCTGAACCCACTTCAAGTGCTCAATGGCAATTGGAATCTCTTGTGCATCTGACAAACTTTTCAACAAAATTATATGGGATTCTGCACATCCTATATCATGATTGAGACTACAAAGTAATTTGGATGCAGCCATATGATGACCTGCTTGAAAAACATACAGCATATGTTAAATTGAGATGAGGCAGCAAGCTGACAAGCACGCATTTGCAGTGCATTATGTTACAAAGATTTGATTGACTGGATAATACCTTTCCTGCACAGTGATGATGTAAAGGAGCTCAATATGCCTTTTGCATTGATTATGTCCTGTTTGACAGACTTGTTATAGAGCTCAAAAGCTGCTTCTAGTTTGTCTTCTTGGCAGATTCCTTCTAGAAGAAAAGTGTAAGTGGTAACATCAGGTTCCACTCCCTTGTCTAAAATCTGGTAAAAGAGCATTTGAGCCTCTTCAGTTTGTCCCACTTCACAAAATTTTTGTATAAGAAGGTTGTATGTTTTCAAATTACCCAAACAGCCGTTCGAGAACATCTCATCCCAGAGCTTCCTCGCCGGACGCAGTAGATCCTCCTTACAACACGCTTCCATTATGTAATTATAAGACGAGACATTGGGTTGAAACCCTTTCTTCTTCATCTCCTGCAGAACAGTATAGCCTTCTCTCACTTTCCCAGCCCTGCACAAAAATGAAATCATTACATTGAAACCCTCCACATCTTTAAAGTAGTTTTGAGAATTCAAAACATGGAACGCCTCCAATAACTCATCAACCTTGCCATGCCTACACAGAATCCTACACAAATCATTGACAGTCAAAATAGTTGGGAACCTCTCTTTCTCAACCATGAAATTGAAAAACATTATAGCAGTACTAGGATCTACACTTGATACCGATCCTATCAATGCATTGAGAACGTCGTCATCAACAGGAAAATTACCACCAATTATAACCTCCCCAACTTCTTTTGCTTCACACATCCTTCTCTCCGTAATCAAGTCAAGTATCAAGTCCTTGTAATCACTGCTTCTAGGAGCCACCCCTAACTTCCTCTTCATCTTTAAAACTTTCACTTCATCAGCCACATTCCTCATTGATCGGAACCCTGCGGCAACAACCCAGTAAGCCATGAAATCGGGTTTCCAACCCCTACTCCTGAGATCACCCAACATCCACAAAGCCTCCGATACCTTAGAAGCCCGACACAACCCATGAACAGTCAAAACCGCCACAACAGAACCATTAATCCCAGAACCACATTCCTTAACCTCATCCAACAACCTCACCACCCTTTCCACATCACCCTCTCCACAAACCCGCCAAAGAAACACCCCAAATCCCAGTGTGTTGAAACCAATACCACTCTGAGTCATTTCCTCAAACAGCTGGTACGCACTTTCCAAACACCCATCAGAGGCAAGGGCAGCCAAGAGCGAGTTATAAGTGGGCCCTCCAATTTCGGCACAAAGGGGAGCAACATTACCCAAGAGCGAAAAGGCTTCGCGAGCACGGTTGTGGGCAATATGGGATGCTATGATGGAGCTGAAAAGAGAAGGGTGGATGGAAAAGTTCCATTGGAAAATAATCTGTTAACATGTCTAGTAATTTTTATACTTTTGAATAAGATTTTAAAAAGTTATATATCTTAAGTTAACTTCTCTTCTAAACTTAACATTTCATGTCTACTAAATGCTCAATTCATTCTAATTTATGGAACAACACATTAGCTATTCAATTTTTGATTTCCATGCAAATTTTGATTGATAGTGGCTTATTGATTATACAATTTAAATACCAATTTAAGTCTTTATGTAATCCAAAACACCTTCTATATCCAAACTACCTATGCACATTGAATCATTATTTCTTTCATTGGACAATTGTATAAATTTTGAAACCACAAAGTCACAAGTATTATTATTTTAATGTACGCATTCGTTTTTGTTTTAAGTCGTTAATAATGTTTTAAAACATTAACATATTACAAATTATAAAGTTTATGAAAATATTTATATTCTTTTCTTACAGCTATGTTTACATTTTTAATTGATTTCTAAAACATCGTTACATATTTTTATTTTCTCAACTTACTTTTATTTTAATAATGATATATTATTTATGATACGAAAATGTATAATTTTAAAGGACATTACTTTTTAATAAATTCATAGAAAATATAATTGATATATATAATAAAATAAACTTAACAAAAAAATTATTTTTTTACATACTCAATTAAACAATAATCATTAAACATTCAAAGCAAAAACTGATGATATTTTTAGAAACATTAAACTTATTCAAGCCTTTAATATATAACTTGGAGTAATGCTACCATACAAATTCATAAATAGCTTCTTTTTTTTATCAACGTTTTCTCAAACAAGCAAGTAAATGGTAACACTAGTCATCTCGTTAATTAGCATATTATCTTGAGATTTTTAATTATCATCCCTTCTTGGTTTGTAATTTACATCTACCATAGTGACCTTTCAGGTTTAAGATAAATCAAATAGCATTCTTATGTACACATTCTTATGTATACATTCTTATGTATAGATGTAATTTACATCCATACACATGGCAGTACTTAGTGCAGAACAGGATATTTGAACAGAGAAAAAGGAAAGGAGACATACAATTATACACATAATTACAATTTTTCCATTGAATTTTATGTACATACCAAAGTTTACATCTACTCCAAATTACACCACCAAAATGTATTCTTTAAACCATGTACAGACCCAATCGTATCTACTAAAAATCACACCCCTAAAAGCACTATATACTCTTTTGGATTTGGCATCCTAAAAGGACTACTTGCTTCATATTGAACCTAGGTAACATGCTACTGAGCACAACTAAGCTATGTAGATGTGTGTTTAAGCTTTCTTCTACTGTACAGGGTAAATTCCAAGACCCTTTGCTGGGGAGAAACATATATACAATCTCTTTAACTTGCACACATAAATTTCTGTTTCACTTGAGAGTAAGTGAAGGAAAATGCAGAGAATATACAAAGGAGGACTCAAGAATAAGATCTGATCAGCTTAAAATTCTGAAAAGATCGAGCTTTGAAAAAAATTCCTAAGAGAAATCCAATTGTTGTGGGTTGAGGGGCCTTTGGTGAAATACTAGAACTATGCTTTACGTTCAGTACTTTGTCACCAATCTGTCTGCGAATTGAATCTATAATCTTGGGGTCAACTGGGTTACCAGTAACATCTGTAACGTAAAAAGTATCTCTTGCCATTCCTTCTTCTGTTGATATTTCTGCTCTTTTGATACACAAACTGTTCTCTCGAAATATTCTTGTGATATCTGAAAGAAGTCCTACACGATCTTTTGTGCACAACTCCAGCTCCATTCCCTGCAAACAAACACATATCTTAGCATCATCATTCCATTCACAAAAGGTTGTGAGACGTGCAGCTTCAAGCTATGGATTGTTATCACACCTCAGATGCTCGCCTTTCAATTGCTGCTTCAAGACACTGCACCAGTCGTTCACGTTCAGCCTCTAAACTAATGGGAAAGCCACGAATATAAAACTCCTAGATGAAGGAGAAAATATGCTCGGTCAGAAAAATTCATGCTGACCATATGAAACTCAACTATAGAATGCATGTAGTTCATCTGATCAAAACATTGTTATGAGTCTAACGTTAAGTAGAATAAGAAACTTAATTTAATGTTATACTTGAGCCATAGAACTTTCTCACATAATGAACTAATATTTTAGGTTAAGTTCTCATCTTCTGTTTAAGTCATAGCAGTTGAAATTTACTGGCCAAAACTTTTAGTATTTGAGTTTAGTTTAGCTACAATAACAAGTACAGGATACAAAACAAAAAAGGTTGAACCATATAGCAAAAACACAAAGAGAAAAAAGCTGGCTAACCTGAAAAGCTTCTGTCCGTAATGTCTTGACAACACCATGAAAAACTACATACTGCATGTCAGTTAAAGTGCAAACAATATCAAACAACAACTTTGGTCGATCTTTTGCTCTCATGGTAACCACAGTGTAATCCTTCTCAACACAATCTACAACNTATGAATGTGAAAGTATCTTAAATTTTATGTAGAGACTGTGGTTGGTTAAGAATTTTTTTTGAATTGTTGAATTTGAATGTAACTAAGTTTTGCTTGATGAATTGGATACTTGATAAGTTGATATAGTAACTAAATTATATGTGTGAAGTATAAATTTTTTTTGAATTAAGTTTTAAATACGATTAGATAAATAGAGTAAATTTTTATATTTTTCTTTATTATAATTTAGGAATTTGATGTGATTAGAAAACTTTTCATTCAAGCAAATACAACATTGAAACTCAATCATATTCTCTGTCTAAAATATTTTATTAATTTGTGATTTTAATTAAATGAGTTATATCATATAATTATGTTTATTAAACATTTATGAAATTGCATGTTGTATGAAAATGATCTTAAAAATTATTAAGAATGGTAAAAAATTATGATTACATACATGGAATTTTATGTATTAAGTGTTTGTATTTGTTATAACAAACATATCTCTTTGTTTCATTGATAATCTAAGTTATAGACTAAGATATTGGATGTCGAGAAACTAATAAGAAATTTTTGCATATTGTGACATAGATAGATGTCCAATTTAGACTGTAATAAACTTGTCGTAACTTATTATTTTATATTTGTTTGTAAATCTAAGTATTTAATCATATGCTAATATCTATTAAGGCATGTTTAATACAAATCTTATACATGTAATTTTGATGTATTGATTCATAAGTGGTTTATATGATAAAAATATTTTTAAAAAAATCCTTTTTTCTCAAAACAGCTAATTCAAACAACACAATTTTCCATATAGAACAAATATAATCAAAATATAAATTACTCCCAAAATTTCTCATCTAAATACACCAATGCTGTAAAGGTTTTGTTACTAAGTTGCATGTACACTTAACCAATGGCACCCAAAACTGAGAACATAATCTTCTCAAATCGTAATCATTTGTCACACATATCCTTCGAAGTAAGGGAAATCAAACACATTTTGTATTCTTTGAAGGAACTGTAACATGGGCTCTGGGCACGTAGCAGAAGAAAGAGAATCCAAAAGTGCAGTACATATATCTCTCAGTATCAAAGGTGATTTTTCCTGAACCCACTTCAAGTGCTCAATGGCAATTGGAATCTCTTGTGCATCTGACAAACTTTTCAACAAAATTATATGGGATTCTGCACATCCTATATCATGATTGAGACTACAAAGTAATTTGGATGCAGCCATATGATGACCTGCTTGAAAAACATACAGCATATGTTAAATTGAGATGAGGCAGCAAGCTGACAAGCACGCATTTGCAGTGCATTATGTTACAAAGATTTGATTGACTGGATAATACCTTTCCTGCACAGTGATGATGTAAAGGAGCTCAATATGCCTTTTGCATTGATTATGTCCTGTTTGACAGACTTGTTATAGAGCTCAAAAGCTGCTTCTAGTTTGTCTTCTTGGCAGATTCCTTCTAGAAGAAAAGTGTAAGTGGTAACATCAGGTTCCACTCCCTTGTCTAACATCTGGTAAAAGAGCATTTGAGCCTCTTCAGTTTGTCCCACTTCACAAAATTTTTGTATAAGAAGGTTGTATGTTTTCAAATTCCCCAAACAGCCGTTCGAGAACATCTCATCCCAGAGCTTCCTCGCCGGACGCAGTAGATCCTCCTTACAACACGCTTCCATTATGTAATTATAAGACGAGACATTGGGTTGAAACCCTTTCTTCTTCATCTCCTGCAGAACAGTATAGCCTTCTCTCACTTTCCCAGCCCTGCACAAAAATGAAATCATTACATTGAAACCCTCCACATCTTTAAAGTAGTTTTGAGAATTCAAAACATGGAACGCCTCCAATAACTCATCAACCTTGCCATGCCTACACAGACTCCTACACAAATCATTGACAGTCAAAATAGTTGGGAACCTCTCTTTCTCAACCATGAAATTGAAAAACATTATAGCAGTACTAGGATCTACACTTGATACCGATCCTATCAATGCATTGAGAACGTCGTCATCAACAGGAAAATTACCACCAATTATAACCTCCCCAACTTCTTTTGCTTCACACATCCTTCTCTCCGTAATCAAGTCAAGTATCAAGTCCTTGTAATCACTGCTTCTAGGAGCCACCCCTAACTTCCTCTTCATCTTTAAAACTTTCACTTCATCAGCCACATTCCTCATTGATCGGAACCCTGCGGCAACAACCCAGTAAGCCATGAAATCGGGTTTCCAACCCCTACTCCTGAGATCACCCAACATCCACAAAGCCTCCGATACCTTAGAAGCCCGACACAACCCATGAACAGTCAAAACCGCCACAACAGAACCATTAATCCCAGAACCACATTCCTTAACCTCATCCAACAACCTCACCACCCTTTCCACATCACCCTCTCCACAAACCCGCCAAAGAAACACCCCAAATCCCAGTGTGTTGAAACCAATACCACTCTGAGTCATTTCCTCAAACAGCTGGTACGCACTTTCCAAACACCCATCAGAGGCAAGGGCAGCCAAGAGCGAGTTATAAGTGGGCCCTCCAATTTCGGCACAAAGGGGAGCAACATTACCCAAGAGCGAAAAGGCTTCGCGAGCACGGTTGTGGGCAATATGGGATGCTATGATGGAGCTGAAAAGAGAAGGGTGGATGGAAAAGTTCCATTGGAAAATAATCTGTTAACATGTCTAGTAATTTTTATACTTTTGAATAAGATTTTAAAAAGTTATATATCTTAAGTTAACTTCTCTTCTAAACTTAACATTTCATGTCTACTAATTGCTCAATTCATTCTAATTTATGGAACAACACATTAGCTATTCAATTTTTGATTTCCATGCAAATTTTGATTGATAGTGGCTTATTGATTATACAATTTAAATACCAATTTAAGTCTTTATGTAATCCAAAACACCTTCTATATCCAAACTACCTATGCACATTGAATCATTATTTCTTTCATTGGACAATTGTATAAATTTTGAAACCACAAAGTCACAAGTATTATTATTTTAATGTACGCATTCGTTTTTGTTTTAAGTCGTTAATAATGTTTTAAAACATTAACATATTACAAATTATAAAGTTTATGAAAATATTTATATTCTTTTCTTACAGCTATGTTTACATTTTTAATTGATTTCTAAAACATCGTTACATATTTTTATTTTCTCAACTTACTTTTATTTTAATAATGATATATTATTTATGATACGAAAATGTATAATTTTAAAGGACATTACTTTTTAATAAATTCATAGAAAATATAATTGATATATATAATAAAATAAACTTAACAAAAAAATTATTTTTTTACATACTCAATTAAACAATAATCATTAAACATTCAAAGCAAAAACTGATGATATTTTTAGAAACATTAAACTTATTCAAGCCTTTAATATATAACTTGGAGTAATGCTACCATACAAATTCATAAATAGCTTCTTTTTTTTATCAACGTTTTCTCAAACAAGCAAGTAAATGGTAACACTAGTCATCTCGTTAATTAGCATATTATCTTGAGATTTTTAATTATCATCCCTTCTTGGTTTGTAATTTACATCTACCATAGTGACCTTTCAGGTTTAAGATAAATCAAATAGCATTCTTATGTACACATTCTTATGTATACATTCTTATGTATAGATGTAATTTACATCCATACACATGGCAGTACTTAGTGCAGAACAGGATATTTGAACAGAGAAAAAGGAAAGGAGACATACAATTATACACATAATTACAATTTTTCCATTGAATTTTATGTACATACCAAAGTTTACATCTACTCCAAATTACACCACCAAAATGTATTCTTTAAACCATGTACAGACCCAATCGTATCTACTAAAAATCACACCCCTAAAAGCACTATATACTCTTTTGGATTTGGCATCCTAAAAGGACTACTTGCTTCATATTGAACCTAGGTAACATGCTACTGAGCACAACTAAGCTATGTAGATGTGTGTTTAAGCTTTCTTCTACTGTACAGGGTAAATTCCAAGACCCTTTGCTGGGGAGAAACATATATACAATCTCTTTAACTTGCACACATAAATTTCTGTTTCACTTGAGAGTAAGTGAAGGAAAATGCAGAGAATATACAAAGGAGGACTCAAGAATAAGATCTGATCAGCTTAAAATTCTGAAAAGATCGAGCTTTGAAAAAAATTCCTAAGAGAAATCCAATTGTTGTGGGTTGAGGGGCCTTTGGTGAAATACTAGAACTATGCTTTACGTTCAGTACTTTGTCACCAATCTGTCTGCGAATTGAATCTATAATCTTGGGGTCAACTGGGTTACCAGTAACATCTGTAACGTAAAAAGTATCTCTTGCCATTCCTTCTTCTGTTGATATTTCTGCTCTTTTGATACACAAACTGTTCTCTCGAAATATTCTTGTGATATCTGAAAGAAGTCCTACACGATCTTTTGTGCACAACTCCAGCTCCATTCCCTGCAAACAAATACATATCTTAGCATCATCATTCCATTCACAAAAGGTTGTGAGACGTGCAGCTTCAAGCTATGGATTGTTATCACACCTCAGATGCTCGCCTTTCAATTGCTGCTTCAAGACACTGCACCAGTCGTTCACGTTCAGCCTCTAAACTAATGGGAAAGCCACGAATATAAAACTCCTAGATGAAGGAGAAAATATGCTCGGTCAGAAAAATTCATGCTGACCATATGAAACTCAACTATAGAATGCATGTAGTTCATCTGATCAAAACATTGTTATGAGTCTAACGTTAAGTAGAATAAGAAACTTAATTTAATGTTATACTTGAGCCATAGAACTTTCTCACATAATGAACTAATATTTTAGGTTAAGTTCTCATCTTCTGTTTAAGTCATAGCAGTTGAAATTTACTGGCCAAAACTTTTAGTATTTGAGTTTAGTTTAGCTACAATAACAAGTACAGGATACAAAACAAAAAAGGTTGAACCATATAGCAAAAACACAAAGAGAAAAAAGCTGGCTAACCTGAAAAGCTTCTGTCCGTAATGTCTTGACAACACCATGAAAAACTACATACTGCATGTCAGTTAAAGTGCAAACAATATCAAACAACAACTTTGGTCGATCTTTTGCTCTCATGGTAACCACAGTGTAATCCTTCTCAACACAATCTACAACAGTTACATGAGGGAGAGGGCGTTTGTCTCTATCTCTGAGTCCCCCTCGTCCTTCTCTTTCAATCCTCTCATAGTCCCTATCAGCAAACATAATCTGATGTAATCTTCTGTCCCTGTTTGTAACTCCAGGGGGTGAAAGTGTTGTCCTTGCTGTCTTTGGATCATTGCTTCCCCTAAGAACATTAGATAGCAAATCCCTTATTGTAGAGAGGCGAGACGGATTCTTGATGGCACAGCCGCTGGAATCATCTGTCACATGAACTACAGCTGCAGCTCTAGTATTGTGTGTCCATATCTCAGCAGTCGCCACATTACAGTGAAGGTCCGTGAGAACTGCACAGATTTCAGATAGTAACAGGTCTGTCTGTGCCGGTGAGTTCAATTACAGTATGCTCTTCAGTAGGTACAACTCCAACAGACTCTCTCAGTGAGGGTGCAAAGCTCGGATTGTTTTCAATTCTCTACAAAAAAGAACAAAAATCACTGAGAAACCACAAAGTCACAAGACTTATTAACCATCATCTATTATCAAGGGGCTATGTATTATTAGCATGAAGAGAATCACAGATCACTTGCAGAAAGAAGACACTCACAGATCACAGATCACTATATAATTAATTAAATCAGTATGACAGTAATAACTAAGTTTATCTGTTATTACTGAAGTCATTTCCTCAAACAGCTGGTACGCACTTTCCAAACACCCATTAGAGGCAAGGGCAGCCAAGAGTGAGTTATAAGTGGGCCCTCCAATTTCGGCACAAAGGGGAGCAACATTACCCAAGAGCGAAAAGGCTTCGCGACACGGTGGTGGGAAATATGGGATGTTGTGATGGAGCTGAAAAGAGAAGGGTGCATGGAAAAGTTGAGAGCTTTGGCTTCTTTGAGGAGTGAATGAATGGCAGTGAAGTGGTTGGTGTGAGAGAGGGATTTTGGGGGGTTTGGGATCGAGAGAGAAAGGGTTGAGAATAACGAGAGATGAGTAAGGGTGGGGTTTCTTTTTAGGTTTGAGAATCAAAATTATTGTATTTTTATTTACTATATATCAATGGACGTTATCAAACCCACGTGTGTATATATATATATATATATATTGAGAACCTCCAAATCTCACTCAAATACTCACGTAAATGTGACATCCTTCATTATGTACTATACTATTGTTGTACATTTTAATACGTGCTACATTTTTTTCTATACAATAAATAATAGAAACAATTTTTCTTTTAAAAAATATAACTATTTTTTAACATGTCATTTTTCTTTTGAGAGAATAAAATATAATTTTTGGGATTGATAGATTACGTTTTAATTTTTAAAGTTTAAGAATTAGAATATAAAACTAAACACTGTTTAAAAATTTGGTCCTCATTTAACAACAACAAATGAGGACTAAAACTAAAATTCTGAGAACTAAAACGAACGTTTCAAAAAGAATGAGGACATTGTACCTTACTTTGAAAGAGAGACGAAAGACCAATAGTTTAGGGACTAAAAACATATTTTACCCATTTTTTATTATTAAATTAAAATATATTTTTTCAATTTTGAAGAAAAAAAAATTCCTGAAATTTAGAAAATCAAAATCACAATTACTATGAATCTTAAGGCCTAAAGTATAATTAGTGAATTAATAAGGGAGCATTTTTATATGAAAAGAAAAAAAGGTATAAAGTAACAAAAATAGATGTGAAGAAGCTTAAGCTAAGCTAGTGACATCGATTCTTTAATGAAAGCATGGCAGCAGCACTACCAGCTTCTCTTCTTCTTACTCTCACCTTTCTCTCCATCAACATATTCCCATCTGCACCAGCCGCAGCATGCCGCGACACGTGCGGCTCCACTCAGGTGAAGTTCCCCTTCGGCACCGGTCCAGGCTGCGGCTCCCCTCTCTTCAGCCCCTACATAACCTGCGCCTCCAACGGCACCGCCGACCAACTCTTTCTCAAAACGCACTCCGCCGCCACCTACCCTATCACCTCCATCTCCTACGACACCTCCACCCTCACTCTCGCCCCGTCCTCCATGTCCAGCTGCTCCGCCATGCACCCCGCCACCACAAGCTTCACCCTCGACTGGACCTCCCCCTTCCAGCTGACCTCCACCACCTTCCTCCTCCTCTCCTGCCACCCCTCCCTCTCCCTCTCCTCCCCCCTCTGCGACCCATCCTTTGACTACCTCTGCGCCTCCCTCTACACTTGCCCCGCCGTCGCCTCCCTCGGCCTCCCTCTCTTCCCTCCCACCAACTCCTGCTGCGTCTATTCCCCCGCCAACCTTGACGGCAACGGGAAGCTGGACCTGAAAGCCATGCAGTGTGGAGCCTACGCTTCTGTAGTGTCGCTGGGCGACACCCCCACTGACCCCTCGCGCTGGGTGTATGGGGTGGCGTTGAAGTTCTCCTATGGCGGGGCCTTGGATAATAACTTGGTGACTACGAAGTGTAGTGGCTGCGAGAGTAGCGGCGGAGTGTGCGGGTTTTCGGAGCCTGGAAATGGCTTCCTCTGTGTCTGTAAAGGAGGCTATAACACCAGCTTCGATTGCTCCCCCGCTTACAACCAGAACCAGGACTACCTCTTTGACTCTGCTTCTGCTTATCCCTTCTTCTTCTTATGTAAGTTCTTTTTCCTTTTGTACCTGTTAATAAGAACTAATGAGTTTTTGGTTAAGCTTATAATTATTTAAGATAGATAACAATTGATCGTTTTGACACTTCAATGTTCTAATTTGGGTGAAACAAAATGTATTGTCTTGCATGGAAAACATATATTTACAGTTGTAATTAGACATGTATGATTAATGTTGTGTTCTTTGTGAATGTTTGGCAGCTTGGTTTGTTTGGAGTTCCATTTTGGCTGGTATGATTTTGAGCTTAGTGTGATGAGCATTCAAGGGAGCCGTTCACTTCAGAATATCGTCAAAACTTTTTAATTAGTAAAAGCTGCTTTAGAAAAGAATAAAGGTATTCCGCATCCATTCCTCCTACACTGTAGGCTTTCTGGTTCTTTTGTTTTTGTTAAAATAGTTTATGATCAAAGAAAGGAGCACTCGCTAATTCATTCCTAGTTTCTGTGGGTAATTTTGCAACTACAATTCGGCTACTTTAGTAAGGTGTAGGTAACATTTATATATTTTAAGATGTATTTTAAGTGTAGGTAAGTATTCCATTCTTACATATTTACTATTTTTTTTTTGCTTAATACCCTATTTTGTTCCCATTTTCGCTTGAAAATGTCAAATTAGTCCATCCTTTAAAAAATGCGTCAATTACGTCCTCAGTTAATAAAATTTGCATCAATGAAATCCCTTCCGTTAAATCCGTACAAACAGCGTTAATTATTTTTCTCTTTCTTCTACTGCCTCAATTAACGCCGTTTGTACGGATTTAACGGAATGTATTTCATTGATGCAAATTTTATTAAGTGAGGACGTAATTGACGCAGTTTTTAAAGGATGGACTAATTTGACATTTTCGAACGAAACTGGGGACAAAATAGGGTATTAAGCCTTTTTTTTTTTACTTTCTAAATTGAATCCATAAAAAGGATGGGCATGTGCATAAAGGAGGCCACAGGCCCAAAAGAGGATGGGGAAGTATACGGAGGCCCAAGGCCCAAAATGATTCTTTATCCGCTTTATTCCTTGCGTCTTCTCTTTTAAACTGTGAAATATGACTATGACTAATTAGTGCGTGTTTGGAGATCAGTTTCCTTCTGAGCCATTGTCCATTCCTTAACTTTATGGTAAGTATGATTTCAAGAAAAAACAGCATCTCACATAAAAAATGAAAATTGAGATTAATGGAAGCATTTTTTATCTTTCCTTTGTTAATATAGCATTTCTTCTTTCCGTTCAAGATTGTTCCACTGGTTTCTAGTGGAACCAAACAACGCGATAATCCTTAAAAAAGTGGAAATATTCGCTTGAGATGTTTGAAACTATAACTCAAACACTGTTGATAACAGCAATATGAATTTCTATATCCTTATAAAATGGTACATTAAAGCATGGAAACATAAATAGACAAGAGATAGATGCACTGTAATCACCCGAAGGACATAGAGATTGAAGTGTTGAAATGCACACACAACAAGTCATGATATTATTACCATGCAATCCCAGCCGAGTTTCCTTAATTATGAATTTACAGTGGAAGATGCTCTCTAAAAACTATTTTCTGACACTCCTTTAAATAAGAAACAGATGCACTGTTTTTATTCTCTCTATATGGAACCAGTTTCACAACCATCCCCTTTCAGTCCTGCCCGAGAAAAAACAATACCACATGACTGATAATAGCGTTCAAACAAATTAATACACAAGCATATCTACAATGGTGAAATCAAATCTAAATGTCTGTAGTGTGACATCTTTCTATTTTTCTGCTAATCCACATGGCGACCGTTACTGTGGTTTTTTTGCATAGTTGGAGCTGTGGAATCAATGAGGAAGGATCTTAAATGTTTGTACATCTCATTGGCCTTCTCTACATTCACGGCATGTCCTGCATTCTTAATAACCACTAGTTCTGCGTTCTCTCCCAGATGCCTAAAATCAGATGTGAAGTTAAAGCAATCGTTAAGTGTAAATTGGAGAGACATTTTCAAGACAAAATTAACAATGTCACAAAACTACAAGTGAATTAGAGAGAGACCCTTTGAGTCTGTGAGCTAGTTCTATTGGGAATACCAAGTCCTTTTCTCCCCAGATTATTAGCGTAGGCTGCATCATAAAAAAGTTATGTCATTCAGTGATAGATGGCAAACATGGTGAAACTAACCCATAATGTAAAGTCTAAAAAGAAAAAGAAAAAACCTGTGTTATCTTAGGAAGATCAGACAGTTTTCTATCCTTATACAATGCTTCGATCAGTTCTTTCCTCTCTTGGATATTTTCAGTACACATCACCTGCAAGTTACAAACTTCAGTAAATAGGCAATTGGCACTCCCATGCTTGTGCAAGCAATCAGAACTTTGGGTAATTTCTCATTGTGGAGCAATCAAGAACGGTTGAAATCAAATAGAAACGACAAATTTGATTAAAATACACGTACTTTTTCATAAAGGCTTACGTGCTCATACTTGGGTGTTGTTCTCAATACGAGAGGACCATGGTATTGTGTAGAAGAGAGCATCCAAATGGACCAACAGAGAACACACACGCAGGCACAACTTATGTTCAATTAAAACGACAACTGAAAAAGAGGCAAACCTTTCTTTGATCCAATTGTCAAAAAAATCAAACCTTGTGCTCATTTCTTACATCTTTCTATTTTTTTTCTCCTTCTCTCCACCTAAACATTAAATAAATCGTCTCTACCACGGGTCACCCACCACCATCGGATTATAACAGAGCATGATGTAATTAGGAACAAGTGGACCAAACAATTTTAAAGTAAACCAACAAAATAAAAATTAATTGAAATTCAGGTCGGCGCGTGGTACTCACGTTGATGTAATCAGTGAGGAAACAAGTGGGCGTGACTTTAGAGGGCTTGACGAACGCGAGGCGCAAAAGCTGCCTCAACTTTTCCGGCGTCTGAGGCAGCAAGATTTCGGCAGCCTCGTCGACGCTCTTCACCTGAAACAGTCCTTCATCCAAGTCCTTCTCTTCGAAACACACCCCAGCGCAGCACAGCACCACCTTCTCCACGCGCTCAGGGAACTGCGCGGCGAGGCTGTAGGCGACAAAGCCGCCGTAGCTGATCCCGACTACGCTGCTTGTCCGGACGCCGTGGGCCTGGAGGAGGGCGGCCACGCACTGGGCCTGGAAGGCCTCGGTGCGATCGGGGCGGGTCGTGTGAGAGTCCCCGAAGAAGAGGAGGTCCGGGACGTAGACGTTGAAGCGGCGCGTGAGTGGGGGGAGGAAGTCGTTCCACTGCCACATTGCGTTGGCGCCAAAGCCGTGGAGGAGGAGGAGGTTGGGCTTCGAGTCTTTGTGGGCCTTGGGGACCCAGCAGTGCATGATGGTACCTTGACCCAGATCAGTGGTGGCGGATTTGAGGCCGGCGCTGGAGAAGGAGAAGCGGAAGCAGCGGTCGCGCGTGGCGGTGAAGCTTATACACCCCGCCATGCTGTTAATGATTAGCTAATTGATTGAAGATGATGACGAAGATGAAGCAAAGGAGACTGTACTTTCAGAGTAAGAGATATTATATTACAGAGGGAAAACGTTTCTTCAACAACAGATTTTTGACAACAATTTGACAACAACACGTTGTCTTAATACCCTATTTTGTTCCCATTTTCGCTTGAAAATGTCAAATTAGTCCATCCTTTAAAAAATGCGTCAATTACGTCCTCAGTTAATAAAATTTGCATCAATGAAATCCCTTCCGTTAAATCCGTACAAACAGCGTTAATTATTTTTCTCTTTCTTCTACTGCCTCAATTAACGCCGTTTGTACGGATTTAACGGAATGTATTTCATTGATGCAAATTTTATTAAGTGAGGACGTAATTGACGCAGTTTTTAAAGGATGGACTAATTTGACATTTTCGAACGAAACTGGGGACAAAATAGGGTATTAAGCCTTTTTTTTTTTACTTTCTAAATTGAATCCATAAAAAGGATGGGCATGTGCATAAAGGAGGCCACAGGCCCAAAAGAGGATGGGGAAGTATACGGAGGCCCAAGGCCCAAAATGATTCTTTATCCGCTTTATTCCTTGCGTCTTCTCTTTTAAACTGTGAAATATGACTATGACTAATTAGTGCGTGTTTGGAGATCAGTTTCCTTCTGAGCCATTGTCCATTCCTTAACTTTATGGTAAGTATGATTTCAAGAAAAAACAGCATCTCACATAAAAAATGAAAATTGAGATTAATGGAAGCATTTTTTATCTTTCCTTTGTTAATATAGCATTTCTTCTTTCCGTTCAAGATTGTTCCACTGGTTTCTAGTGGAACCAAACAACGCGATAATCCTTAAAAAAGTGGAAATATTCGCTTGAGATGTTTGAAACTATAACTCAAACACTGTTGATAACAGCAATATGAATTTCTATATCCTTATAAAATGGTACATTAAAGCATGGAAACATAAATAGACAAGAGATAGATGCACTGTAATCACCCGAAGGACATAGAGATTGAAGTGTTGAAATGCACACACAACAAGTCATGATATTATTACCATGCAATCCCAGCCGAGTTTCCTTAATTATGAATTTACAGTGGAAGATGCTCTCTAAAAACTATTTTCTGACACTCCTTTAAATAAGAAACAGATGCACTGTTTTTATTCTCTCTATATGGAACCAGTTTCACAACCATCCCCTTTCAGTCCTGCCCGAGAAAAAACAATACCACATGACTGATAATAGCGTTCAAACAAATTAATACACAAGCATATCTACAATGGTGAAATCAAATCTAAATGTCTGTAGTGTGACATCTTTCTATTTTTCTGCTAATCCACATGGCGACCGTTACTGTGGTTTTTTTGCATAGTTGGAGCTGTGGAATCAATGAGGAAGGATCTTAAATGTTTGTACATCTCATTGGCCTTCTCTACATTCACGGCATGTCCTGCATTCTTAATAACCACTAGTTCTGCGTTCTCTCCCAGATGCCTAAAATCAGATGTGAAGTTAAAGCAATCGTTAAGTGTAAATTGGAGAGACATTTTCAAGACAAAATTAACAATGTCACAAAACTACAAGTGAATTAGAGAGAGACCCTTTGAGTCTGTGAGCTAGTTCTATTGGGAATACCAAGTCCTTTTCTCCCCAGATTATTAGCGTAGGCTGCATCATAAAAAAGTTATGTCATTCAGTGATAGATGGCAAACATGGTGAAACTAAACCATAATGTAAAGTCTAAAAAGAAAAAGAAAAAACCTGTGTTATCTTAGGAAGATCAGACAGTTTTCTATCCTTATACAATGCTTCGATCAGTTCTTTCCTCTCTTGGATATATTCAGTACACATCACCTGCAAGTTACAAACTTCAGTAAATAGGCAATTGGCACTCCCATGCTTGTGCAAGCAATCAGAACTTTGGGTAATTTCTCATTGTGGAGCAATCAAGAACGGTTGAAATCAAATAGAAACGACAAATTTGATTAAAATACACGTACTTTTTCATAAAGGCTTACGTGCTCATACTTGGGTGTTGTTCTCAATACGAGAGGACCATGGTATTGTGTAGAAGAGAGCATCCAAATGGACCAACAGAGAACACACACGCAGGCACAACTTATGTTCAATTAAAACGACAACTGAAAAAGAGGCAAACCTTTCTTTGATCCAATTGTCAAAAAAATCAAACCTTGTGCTCATTTCTTACATCTTTCTATTTTTTTTCTCCTTCTCTCCACCTAAACATTAAATAAATCGTCTCTACCACGGGTCACCCACCACCATCGGATTATAACAGAGCATGATGTAATTAGGAACAAGTGGACCAAACAATTTTAAAGTAAACCAACAAAATAAAAATTAATTGAAATTCAGGTCGGCGCGTGGTACTCACGTTGATGTAATCAGTGAGGAAACAAGTGGGCGTGACTTTAGAGGGCTTGACGAACGCGAGGCGCAAAAGCTGCCTCAACTTTTCCGGCGTCTGAGGCAGCAAGATTTCGGCAGCCTCGTCGACGCTCTTCACCTGAAACAGTCCTTCATCCAAGTCCTTCTCTTCGAAACACACCCCAGCGCAGCACAGCACCACCTTCTCCACGCGCTCAGGGAACTGCGCGGCGAGGCTGTAGGCGACAAAGCCGCCGTAGCTGATCCCGACTACGCTGCTTGTCCGGACGCCGTGGGCCTGGAGGAGGGCGGCCACGCACTGGGCCTGGAAGGCCTCGGTGCGATCGGGGCGGGTCGTGTGAGAGTCCCCGAAGAAGAGGAGGTCCGGGACGTAGACGTTGAAGCGGCGCGTGAGTGGGGGGAGGAAGTCGTTCCACTGCCACATTGCGTTGGCGCCAAAGCCGTGGAGGAGGAGGAGGTTGGGCTTAGAGTCTTTGAGGGCCTTGGGGACCCAGCAGTGCATGATGGTACCTTGACCCAGATCAGTGGTGGCGGATTTGAGGCCGGCGCTGGAGAAGGAGAAGCGGAAGCAGCGGTCGCGCGTGGCGGTGAAGCTTATACACCCCGCCATGCTGTTAATGATTAGCTAATTGATTGAAGATGATGA